ATAATAATAATAATAATAATAATAATAATAATAATAATAATAATAATAATGCAAAATATTTCTAACGGCAATTGAACCTGACAACACGTATTTATGTAGATTTTGCAGCAGTTACCCCATAGGAGCGGTTTTAAAATAGTATGAGTATTATGATTACTTATATTAATCTCGTTCATCCTTTCATTCTCACTTCATGGACTCTCTCTTCTTTCACCATCAACAGTTGATAAGAATCAGTGACTCACGTGGCATCAGGCCCAGTGCAGACAGCAAACTGGCATTGCCTCTCACTGGCTTTACTTCTGAAATTAACACAGTAGGCTGGAGCATGAGACTGCAGCCTTTACCGGGAGATGAATCGACTAACCTCCACCATATGGTCCTGTATTAATTAAAGGCGTGAGACCGTGAACGTCGCCTCTTTTACCCCCGTTTCTTCTTTCTCTCAGTTTCGAAAACAGACTCGGAGGAGGGTGAATGACATCTAAACTCTTTTTGGACACTTTCTGTTAAAATTGTTATTTGCAGCTTGATTATTTCTTAGTTTCCAAACTGTTTGTCAGCTCACAGTTTATCCATTATCTTTGAAAATGCATTTTCAGCTCTGGTCTGAAGCTAAAAATCAAAATAAAACGCATAATTCTGAAATCAGCTTTAATGGCTTATGTGATATATTTTATTACAACCCTCACCGGCTGAACATTGATTTATCTCGTTCTTCTTTTTTTTAATTTCCCCACACTCCATCACTTCTAACGATACATCATTATCATCCACTGACCTGTAAGGCAAACCCTGCCCTCACATCACTTCATGCTCCTTTATATTGCAACCATGGCTTTTAAATTTACATCGGAAAGGCACAGAGCGCACAAAGCGCGAGGTGGAACAAATTCCTTCACTCGCATTAACTCACATCTCACTTTTTTAAGCGTCTCCACTCTTCTACTGTACTTACCAGTTGTAGACACCGGTGGGGAGGTTGCTTTTCCCGGCCGTCGGCGTTTTATTCTACAGAGATGAGATAAATTCCACCGTCCAAACGCACCGAGACACCAGTAGTTCTGTCTACAGCGACAAACCGAGCAACTTCAAGATCCAGTAGCACTGAAGTTTACGTTTCTGTCCGGGGAAAACCAGAGCGTAGCATGTGCTCTCCCACTATGTATCCAAAAAGAGACGCACCACTACCTTTAGGATTGTTTCATTTATGCGCATAAATAACCATCTATTTACAGTGAGGAGAAACTGCGAAGGAGGCGCTTTCATTCGAGTCTCCTCTTGGTTCGTCCTCTTCTGTCTTCCTCAACTTTTTCCCCCTTGAAAGACGCTCCAAGAGTGGCGCAATTTTTCCTGCTTTTGAGCTTAGAGAGGGACCCCGTGTGCGTATGCGTGTGTGTGTGTGTGTTTACGCGCGCGCTTTTAAAGGGGTGTGTTTGTGTACGCTCATGTGCCTGTGTAGTCTAGCAGAGGGCAACTCGGAGCGTCTCAGCTTTCAACAATAATCAAACACACACACACAAAAATTCAGTGTCATCTTTAAAAAGAGCGTGTTAAAAAAATAAAACACGGAGATTCCTGATAGGCCATCCCGACAGGCATGCAAAACACAGAGCAGTTCAATTTGCTTAAACCCAACCTATTTACAACCAGCCACTTAACCGCTTATTATATAAACTCTGCCCGTGCAAAAATAAACAACGAGCATGGCTGCAGATTCCTTATTTAACCAGCTCACTGGCCTCTTTTTTTTTTAATAAAATGCTTTTTAAGGCATTTAGTGATTTTTAAAATTTCTTTTTATAATCCAATCAGCAAAATGAGTCCATTTTACACACGCTGGTTGTTGTGTCATCGCACACAGCGGTGGATTTATAATTTAACTAATTTACACAACGCAATATTTTGAATATTTGGAACTGCAAAGTATTTAAATTGATGCATTAGGCTCCTCCGGGGCCAGATAGCGCTATCGTGTTGCGGATTTATGTGCAGATGAAGTGAACAGCTGGCTCGGATGCAAATGTTCTTTATAGATCCGTTTCGTTAGATACAGGCTGATTTTCCATTCGCATCTTAAGTGAGGCAAGCCGACCGGACGTAGGCCTGCATTCCCCGCGCCTAATCCTTGTTTTACATTTTTAGTCATACTCCCATTAAACAAGTAATTAATGCACCCATCCACATGGGAATTTCTAGGCAAATGGGGACACTGAAGCAAGTGCGCATCATCTACACGCCACCCTCGATCAAAATTTGTTGAGTAAAGGATGGCTTGATTTCTGGGATCCAAACACATTTCTGATAAATACCTTATATAGATAGATGTAATGGAAAAATAATTTTTATAGCTTATTTGGTCTTCTTATGTAAGAGTAAAGACATCAAATTAAGCTGGGCTTTAGTCAAGAGAAATCCCTCTTAGTCTTCCACAGAGGCCCGAGAAAACCATATTTTATTAATTTTCCTCTCGCCAAACACACATGCACGCTGAGTACGATGGGTCAAATGCAAACCAATATGGGGGAAAAAATAAATAAAATAAGCATATTTGCCAAAACAGCTCGCTCTTTCAAATTTTGACCTCTGTGCTTTAATATTAGTTGTTGTATTATGGGACAGTCATGCACAAACACTCCAACACACATGCACCATCGCATAAAATGTGAGTAAAAGGACCCAGAAGCCAGAAGAGAAAACATCAGCCCTGCATGTGCACATCTTCAAATCACGCCCCGCCTGCACGCAGAGATAAAGAGGGTGAGCAGCGTCTGGAGAGGCATGATGGTTCGGTTATATTCTCCTCTTACCTTCTTATACAAAGAGAAAAAAATCAGTCAAGAGCCTCCTCTTTCTCACGCAGAAAGGTGCAGAGGAATGCCTGAAGTTCAGAGAAGGCTGGCGGGTATGAAATCTTTCGCCTCGGGGGCAAACCGACGGCTTCTTTTCATTTCAAGCGCTTATCGATTCGCCGTTGTCATCTTTGGCGACGCAGAAGGACACTTGAAAGAATTTCTGATGGGGCTGTGATGTGAGAAACAGGGTGACCTGCTCCGCTGATGCTCTCTCCTGATTCTTAACGAGCACATCAGCGCGCCAGTGTCAGTGTAGTTGGACATTTCAACTTTTCCTTCTCCTGCATACTGGAGAGGATTTTAAAACACTCTTTCCGGCTTTTATGTATATCAGCACGCATCCCAGCCTCCACTTTAAAGACGAGAGTTGATAGACTGCCCGGCCTGTCAGCCACAACAACCACACACAGTCTGAAACCAGAGCCGCACTAGTTTGACTCAGTTTAAGTTTTATTTTGAAGGAGTTATGTTTTTCTTCTTTTACTCAAACTTTTACGAGGACTTAGTGCAGCCCCAGAGTGTTTGCTATTGCTGACTTCACTGTGTGCGTGACACCAGACAGGAAACGCAATATATTTCACATTTGAACCAATATTTAGATGTCTAAGGCCTGACAGCAACGACACCATTTAAAGTCGCTTTATGCAGATTTTGTAAATATGCGCAAGCCTTATAATCAAATATGCCACAGCCCCACATTTCTCCACAAATAAAATCTTTTCCACATTCACGTGAACCCTCTGCTTTACCAAACTGCACTGTGACACAATAGTTGTGCTGTGAAATTAGACCTTAATTTCCACAGGATGCAAACACTAATTATCTTGGTACAAAAGATACCTTTTTCCACAAAGGAGCCTTTTGCATCCTGTCCATTGCACGAGGAATAAACGAAATTAGTGCCAAATGATAAAAAACACGTCTCTGACTTCTGCAGCTTTTACACCGTTGTTAAAAAGCTAAAATAATCCTCTATCCCATAACATTCAGTGATGTATATGACTGTCATCATGGCATTGGGAAGCTTGAGTAATGCAAATGTGAGGTGGTTTCATTATGCAAGGGTTTTCTTTGCCTGAGAAACCAGGCTCATTTTCGCTCTATTTTTTCAAATTTTGCCTCAAACCACATGTGATTGTCGCCTTGAGTTCTGTCTGGCCAACACTCTGTGGCCACATAATAAAATTTTAAGTCAAATTGGTGTTTCCAAAGCCACAAATCTTTAAACAAATCAGTTTATGTGCTGCTAATATGCTAGAAATAAAGTACTGGCCAGGAACTTTGCTTTATTGAAGGTTGTGACTTCTATACAATTGCAAGGGAGATAAATATGAAGAAAAACGCACGAGTCAAAGATGAAAATAGAAGAAAGAGAGAAGGAGACAAAATGAAAGGCAAAACATTAGATGAGGCATTCTCCACTGAGACAGAAATATCCTGTATGTATTTCCATTTGTCAAGTATCACTCCAAGAACGTTATTAGTGAAAAAGCTGCCTGTAAATTAACCAAATTAAAAGGGTGGCTTTTTGATAGCTCTTGAGCTTGTTGAGCGGCTTTATGCCTGATCCTTACTATTCCAGCGCTGTCACAGTACCAAAGGGAGATGAGCTACACCAACACTAAGCACTCCAACTCAGCAACATGGCTTGTGGTTTAGGACGTAATATGCAAGGCCAGTAAATGACTTACATGTTAGGCTACCCTCACTTCTCCCGACATGCCCAACTAACAGGGTGTATATTTAAAAAGTACTCAGCTCTTCGTCTTTGTCTTCTTCTGTAATTATCCTATCCTCGGCTTCCAAAGAAAATGCTTAGCTGATGTCATTGTGGTTTTGGCCCCCCGACTGCTCTAATATTAATCCCATGCATGAAGCAGCTTAAAACGAGTAAGGACTTCTTTGAATTAAACTCTCGGTCGATGTTTTTATGTGAACATATTAACTCCTGTCATTGTGGGTCAGTCAGACAAGGCTGTCTCTATTCCTCTTGACTTTGGACATGACATGGCTGTGGTCAAGCATGATTAAAAATGTCCCTGAGACCGGGACGGGATTCATTACGCTGACAGTCACAGACAGACAGCAGAGCAGCACTTTATGGCACACGGCTGATCTCGGGGATAGTAATAGCCGGTGTATGCATAAACACATGTGGCCTCAGCCTTAATCACAGGTGCGAGTGGGCCAATAAATTGCTCAAGCAGGTCTCTGATCAATTACATGAAAAATCAATGGGAAGCTGCCACTAACCTGCCTAAGGGGAAATCGGCCAAGAATGAAATTGGTGTGATAAAATGACTATGATGCCTCGTGCCCCGTCGATAACATGTAAAACAGTTCAGCTACATGCTAACTCGCCTGTCAAAAGACTTGAGGTGGAACTAAAGGTCACAACTGGAATCAGATTAGTCTTAATTGGTCTACTGTGAGACGAGGAATGGATGCAAAAAAAGAAAAAAGGATGGTGATGCTGATTTCAGACTGCACTGAGCAGAGGATAGAGAAAATGTGTAGAACATGCCCTTAAGATATATATGAAAGAGAAGCTATACAGGTTCATAAAACAGAACTGTGCAAGTCGAAATAACGGCACAATCATGGTGCTTAACAAAAGGTCAGAGGATCATTAAAACGGTTTCAATTCATCCTCAGGAAAATATAGATATCTGCATCTATTTTCAACAGTTAAGACATTTTACTCCAATCCACCAAAGCTAAATTCACTCCAAATTCCCAGGTACTGACGATGCCACTAGCTCTCTGTCAGGCTTCAGTTTAGCTGATTGGAGATACTGAGCTGGAGCGCTTGATGGTTCTTGAGGTGCTGCTATTTTTTTAAACATTTTAATTTGCTTGTACCACTTTTTGTGAGTGAAATTTTATTCTGTATCAGTTTTTTCTTTAGCACTGATTAATAGGCATCTCAGCTGTCTGTCTGTCCTTTTCACCTGACACCACCTTACTCCACCTTGGTGTTCAAATATGCTCATTTCTGGCACAAAAACAAACAACAGCCAAACTGAGCCAAACTAGAGCTCAATGCAGCAATGTCCATCTTAGCTCGAGACCAGCTGATGCTGTTGTTGTGAGAAAGCTTTTGATGATGCTAATACATAACCATGTCATCTCAGCAGCCTGATTATCCTGTAATCGCATGACTAACTATGTTGCTCAGTGTCCCAAATTTTAACTAAAGGTTTGTTTAAGATCCCCAAATCTCCTCTTTGGAAAGTTCTGCTGTTGAGAACTGAGAGAACTGAATTTGTAGAGAAATCTGAAAGCTACAAAAATGTTTGCCTTAAAAAATATAACCTATGTAGCTTTACGGGTAGCTGCAGGTTGATTTGGGTTAGGGATTGGGAACCTAAAAAAATATTATCATGTAAATTGGATGTGCTGGGCTTTTCTTTAGGGTGATTTTAATGATACAGATCAAAAGAACATCTCTACGTAGCAGACAAAGGCTGACAAAGATAAAAGATATAAAGACAGAGTGAAAAATAGAGAGCAGGAGGGAGGGTGGATAGGATACGGCTAATCTAAAATCAGGATGCTAGTCCCGTGTCATGTGTTCTGATTAGTTCCAGTGTTTCA